TTTTGTAGTTGGAAGAAAAAGAATTGATTATGGAACATTGGTTTCTTTATGAGAAACAAGATGACGGAAGTAGGAAGCTGGTTGGATCGTTGAAGAAGACGGAACCACTTATAGAAAGGTACGCTTACACGTATTAGCAGTAGCTTCTTAGTTCTTTATTATCAGATGTAGGCGCGGGTTAACATACGGTATAGTGGATGGGAATCGTAATCTGGTAGTGTAGATCTTTGGCTACTGGGAATCGTATTACCCGTCACGTTACGACGTGTAAAGTTGTTGACCAGGCTGCATAGTTGTGGTCCTTGGAATTCGATGTTGACCGATCAACGTCCGCCCGGGCTGAACTCCAACGCTGGGTCCGTCCCTGGGTAGACAGATACAAAATAATAGAAACAAGTTAAAAAGACACAAAATTTGAAGCACAAAATCAACGTACAAACAAATTATTTTTAAATACTGAAATTAAAAAAAAAAAACTAAAAACAACATAATACTAAACTGTACAACTATGAAAAAAAATTAACTATGAAATTGACATACTACAGTTATGGCAAAGAATCAAACCTCAAATCATGAGAAATGAACACCTGAACAAATGAATTGGAAAAATGAAACAAAACTAACCTAAAGAACCAAATAAACCTAAAATGCAACAGCTATCAAATTGATATACCTCAATTAATTGATCTCCCATCCAGCTTGCAATATCTCCTTATTTTGAACAGTTGAACTGAAACTGCAAACCAAACAAGCATAAGAAATTCCTAATTAACACTAAATTGAAGAGGAAGATAACATTATATGCACAAAACCAACCTATAACACAAGAACGAACAACAGATAGCAGAATGATGGAAAACGCCGGTGCAGTCGGTGAGAATTTATGTTTTACCTCTTTATCTTTACTTAAAGATGGAGATAAGATATGCACACATCTAAAGATAGAGAGAAGATTTGGATACAAAAATCAAAATAAGATTGCTACGAAAGAATTTGGGTACCACGGTACATTGTTAGGAGAAAAAATATGCAGTAGATAGGAAAATGAATATACTCTGAATTTGGAATAGAACAAATGTCGGCCAATTTAAATGAACATTAAATGAAGTTGGCTTCTATTGGTTGTTGTTAATTATAGTCAAATATATATCAGATGAAAAGTAAACGAAGTCGATGTCAAATGAACATGCCAATTGAAATGAACATTAAATGAAGCAGACCTCTATTGATTGCTGTCAATATAGTCTCAAATATATAAAGGAAGTGAATGGCCGATTTTCAACCATTATTATAATAAAAATAGAAAGAATTTTAGTAACAAAAACAAGTCAAGAATAGAAAGTAAAGCAAACGCAGAATGAAACAGTATAAAACCAGTTCAAGTGTGAAAGAGAGGGCACAAGATGAATAATAAACTTAGCATCCTCTCTTTTAAAGTAAAGGGGAATATAGCATTCTTTTTTATAATGCTATAAAATAAAAATAATTTTTATATAAACATAATATAATGTGAAAATTATATGGAACCATAATTTTCAAGTTTACATTTCAAAAATCAGATACAAAATTTATTTTTACAAAAGTCAGATCATCATAATTAAAAAAATTGATTAATGACAAGTTCTTATCAAAAAAAAATTGCTCCCAAGAAAACCAAATCACGACTCCGCGATTTTCGTCCTCCTCAACCTGCCCTCTCTCTCTCTCTCTCTCTCTCGGTAACGCGAAAAAATGGTGACCTC